GGAGTGATAAATACACTATATGGCACTATGAACCTAATTTTCCATATTCTGCGTATTGCTCGTATTCTCCATGTCCTATTAAGATTGGCTTCGTATCGACTAAACCTTCTGGTTTCACTTTGAGTCCTTTTTATTCCTTAGACATACGGAATCGGGTTCAACCAAAGTGACCTGGAATAATGGTTGTGGTATCCCTCCAGAGATTCTCCTTGATTACCAATATGGACATTTGACTGATAGAATGGGGGCTAGTGTATCTTTAGACCCCCTCTCATTTTCACTTTCCCCCCATTGCTCCAGACATGGTTCAATTGAATGATTTGAACGTTTTATTCAGCAGTCAAACGGCCATACTGCAATCTGTCTGCTGCACTAAGAAGCTTGCTCCCTCTTTACCTCTGTCCCTATCACAACCTTCCCTTTGGCTTCATCCTTCGTCTATTCGTCTAGCTCTTCTGGCTCAACTCAAAGGACCTTGTTTGTGGAGATTAAGAATGATCTTTTGACTTAATGCTGTATTCGACTTTTAAACTCCTAGAAAAATATTTAGAAGGTAGCCTTAGCGCAGAGTAAAACATTGCAAGGGAGGGGAGGTTTTCAAACTGTAAATAACCACCTGGCTTGTGTCAGAAAGAAGATTTTTCTAGCAACAAATTGCAGAGTTCTTAAGTTTGCAATCACTACCATACCGAATAAGAATAGAAGAATGTACACATAGATGTATGAACATGAATATAATTTTATTATTAAGGATAGAAGCTCGCTTTTCGAAAGCCGCCTGAAGGTATTTACTCAACTCCTCACGAGGGTTCCTGTTCCCCCAGAATAATAAATAGAGACCTCAGAGTGCAGAGGAGGTGAGGACCACAGACAGTACGAGTGGATCTCTGAGGTGGTATAGGTTTACAGGCTTAGACTTGAACCAGAGACAATTAGCCAGTTTTTTTTTCTTCTGAGTAAAGGGTGTGAGGCTTAAAGGACTCGGGGTGAGAGGTTTAGGACAATTTTCTTTTTGTGATCTTCATGGTTAATGCCTGGAAAGGGGCAAGTCATGTTTTGAGTAGAAAGGTTAAGATAACTGCCCAAAGAGCAAGTCTATGGTTGCTGTCAAGGACAACAGTGGACGGACATTACAGAGTGAGTCATACAACTTGGAAGGCTACCTGGAGCGCGATCCAGTTATTCATGGGATACCAAGTCTGGTACTCAAGGAATACAGTCCAGTTTGTCTGAAAATGAGCTAATTTACCATAAATAGCTGAAACTTTCCATCTGGGTACAAGCGTTAGCTGCAGCACCTTTACATGTCGTTAAAGGCCCGTAGCACTGAAGAACAAACTGGCAAGCCCACATCAATGTTGCTGTGTTACAATGTGGCAAGTGCCAAGCCTATTAGCAACTAACAGAAGCTGAATTTAAGGGAAAACTGACTGACCACAAAATGAGGGATCTTGAGGCCTGGCTAAAGGCCTGCTGACAGAAACTTGGTCTTTAAGGAGAGCCCCACCTGAGGCAGGTGGAAATTGAATATTGTATTATATTTCCTGTGGCTTTTTGTTGAGCTGGAACTTGGCAGTGGAACAGTGAGTGTGGTGGAATTTAGAGAAAGCACACTTGAGTAACTCCCTTTAATTGAAAAGAGGGGAACTGTCTGCGTCGTTTTAGCCATGCTAGCTATACGCGCCAGCACTCGCATTACATGTCAGCACTGATGGCGCACCGGTCTGCAAAATGAGGCGAACTTGGGAGCCGGGACCCGCTGAAAGATGATATTAGAAAATATTTGTTTCGTCTTTGTGACATAATAGGATTAGGAGGGACATGAGAGGCTCTCCCAACTATCTGATGAGGACAGGTGAGGAGAGACAAAAAGAACCTAAGTCTGATTAAGGTCTTCATGTAGGTCTTCTTCTTTCTTGTCTCTCTTTCCATCTTTGACACCTCTTCCTCTGGTACTTCTCTGTCCCTCCAGACAGACTGACCAGTAACCGATGCTTCATAATTACCCAGGTGAGGCTTGAGCGTTTCCATATGAGAGACCTGGGTTGCCGGGCCTGTCAGATTAACATGATGTGTGTGTTTTCTCTCTGCTGTTTAGCCATTCCCAAAGTATCCCCTTCACAGCCTTGTGGAATATAAGGTGGAACCTGTAGAGATTTGGTGGTGGGGCTTAAGAGGAAGGGGACAATTAAGGTTTTTATTAATGGTGTGCCACTGACGTTAGCCATGTTCACCTGAATGTTGGGTCTGAGTGCTGGTCTTAGCTGTAAGGCGAGATGGTTGTTCTGTTCTTCTGTGTGTGTTTCAAAGTCAGCCTGTCTCTCTGTTTGGCTCACTAGCTGACAGGCTGGCTCACATCTCAGTACCAAGTAGAAAGCAGAGGAAACACATAGTTCTGCTTGTCTGGAGCGGGGCACTTTCCACTTATGCCTCCACGTTAACGATAAGAGACGCTAAAAGCAGCTCGGTTTCTCTCCATTGAATAAAAAGGAAGAATACGAAAATAGGTTCGAAAACGGGCTCATTGTGGTGAGAAAATGTGGTTCTTTGATGCTATAATGACTCATCATTTTGTGGCTGCGGTAGCCAGATAACTGTATAATATTCACAGCTACAGTAACAAAAGTGAATTGGGTGAATTAACTGCATTAACTTATAACTACGGAACCGTAATGAGATGGCGCCCAATGTGAGAAACGTTCAGTGTCCCTCTACCGCATGAACAAAGTTGTATTCAGATTTCAGGACAGCATACAGGGAGTTGGTTTTACCATTAAACTGTTCTTTCATCCACACACTCACTAGCACACACTTACACCTGATATTTCAGCTTTTAACCCTAAAAATGCTCAATTTGTTGGGCTTCCTAAGGCCGTTCAAACAAACAAAAAAGAAAAGGATGGAATAGGGACAACTGCTTCCAAGATCCAACAGTAACTACTTCTACCTGGCTAATTTGTCCTGCTCCACCGGAGACTTCTAAGGGGATCCTAGGGCCCATGGGTTATCTAATCCCTCTGGTCTTGGGTTTCCTCCACATATTCAGTATCTAAGAATCCAATTCTCATCAATTCTTCCTTTATCTAATAGCGTTTCGTTTTTTGTCTCCATCTTCACTTTGGCTGCAACAATGTACATTTCCCCTCTGTTGGACGAATAAAGGTATTCTGATTCTGAATTATTCTCAATGGACAGCAGAGCAGATGTGCAGCCTATAACCTTTTTCCAAAAATATTTCAAAAAGCCATTTGTGCATAGCTTTCAACACATCAGGTAAAGAGCCTGTCATGTACTTTTGCTTCAACAGCACTAACACGTTCTCCCCTTTATGTTCCTCTTGAAAGTTTACCTAGGTATAATCAGGAGTGGTTAGAGGGCTAGGTAAATTGGGCACTCCACCCTTATGCCTGGCTAAATATCCCAGAAACATAATGCCACCTTCATTAGCATGATTCTATCTGCCCCACACTAAGCAGTGTTTTCTTTGGGGCCGGCCAGAATGAGAGCCTGAACATGCGCAGGCCCTGCCCATCATTATCCATGTTCAAGAGGCCTTATTCTTTGGCCATCCATAACAATCCAGGCATCAAATAAAATCCTTCTGGTTTCCTAAAGTCCTGACATCAGGGTTTTGCTCCAGAGTCTGAGGTATTCCATAATTCGGGCACTTTTACACGCTCACATTTGCGCATAACAACCTTGGATCCTGAACAAACATGCTTACACAGAAAGGATTTCTTAAAAAGGGAGGGGATGAAAATTATTTCAATTTTTCTCTCTCAATCGTCTCTGTGACATAATGATTCTGGCTGGAGAGAAAGGGAGACCACCAAAGAGGGAAATATATCAAGCCAGCATATGAAAATAGAGTTGGGCATTCTTTTAAAATGGAGACCATTAACAAGGGGATACCGTTAGCTGTAGCTCTAACAATGAGTGTTTTCTATGTAAATTGACAGCAAAGCATTACATCAGTGAACTAGAGAAACAGATCTGAAGCAGTGGTTTGAATAGTGACTGACAAACAAGCTGGTTTAGAGTACAAAAGCCCTCCTGTTCCTTTTTACAGTAGAAGGAGAAGGAGAAAGAGATTGGCTGCCGATTGCAGAGAAACCCCAAGTGAAGATGGGACTGGGGCAGACAGACAGAATGTGTTACATTCATTACTTCGGCCTGTCTGCCAGCGTACTGTATAAAGATATCAAGTGTGCTCATCTTCTCCCTAAACGCTGCAGCTATCTAGTTTTACAGTTTCATCGGACCACAGGCCAATTCACGCTGGCAGAGAAAGAGTTAGAAGATCTGGGTGGGTAGACTGTTGGAATGACAATAAACGAAGTAATGTATGAATGAGACCGCACGGAAAGAGTTTGAATAAAGCCAAATTGAGTATTTTTAAACGTGTGTTTTTATGTGAATAGGAGAGGTCGGCTCAAGGCCGGGGGTCGCAGGAGATGGAGTTTGGATTCTGTCCCACCCCGCGAGAGGAAGGATGTGACTGTAAAGGTGGGTAACAGAGACAGAGTTACATTTCATGGGGTTCCAGATCCTGTGTCAAGACATATATCGTCTGTCTAGCCTGAGACTCTAACAACCCCCCTACCATTTCATATTTTTTGATGTATTACTATGATTTGAAAAAGACACATTTTGTCTGCTTATCTGAATCCACCTCATTTTTGCATTTTTTTTTGCATTCTGCAGTGAAGGGAACTTCTGTCTGTTGAGTAAGAATTTCCAGATATAATTATTTTAAATAAATTGCACATGATAAGAGAAATCTCATACATTGAATTAAAGGATGTGAATTCAACTACATTGTAGTTAAAGGACACATGATGTGCAATAATGTTCTACACTATGATGGATATGAATTTCCCTTTTGACAACTTCAGTGTTCTAGCATTAGCAACCTGGCTATTAAAACTGAAACATATCTTAACTGAATCACTAAGCAAACACATAACTCCAAAAAAAAGGTTGGAGTTTTTTTGTTTTACCTTGATCAGCGAGTGCAGGCTGCGCTCCCCAAACATGTCCTGGAGGAAGGCGTTGTCCTCAGGACGGCTGACATGGGGCTGCAGCTGAGAGGGCAGAGCAGCAAGCAGCTCGTACAGACCTGCAGACGGGGAAGAGGAAACAGAGTCAGAATGTGGTAAAGGAACATAGTGTGCAGAATGACAGATACATAGACAGACAAGACAACACATGCAATTGTAAGAATTCACCTTAATAGGTTTTTTTTTGTCACACACATACACCTCAGTGTTTTCTATGGGTGGTCTGCCCAGAAATACAGACAAAACACGTCGTTCTCCTGGTCACTGGAAGTAAAATGGAAACGCAGAGGCAATATAGCATTTCCCCTCGAGCCTCTGCTTCCCACCATTGTCCCAGCCTTTCCTGTTGTTTCAGGAACACTGCCGTCTCCAATCAGAAACAACTCCACAAACTCCTCGTTACGCATCTAAAAAGTCCACCTATTGATTAGTTGAAAGGTTCAATGCTAATTTTTTATTTTTTTATTATATCAATAAAACACATATCTTTCAAGGCTTTCAAGCAACGCATCCTTATTGCCTGCAAACAATCAAGTTGTGTTTGCTAAAGAGACGTTCAGGCTGAAATCTAAGTGGCTGTTGTGCACATTTAAAAGGAAAATAATTAAAATGTTCTTAAATAACGTTTTGCACTGAATTTGGAGGATAGTGAATTAAGCAGATGTGGCCGGTCTCTTTCCCAGCCAGTTGATGTCATGAGCTCAGAAGGACAGTGGACATTTGCATTTATGCAGGCCTATGTCATCAAGTCATCACCATAGCAAGGTTTGTTGTTGACAGTGAGAGAAACAGGGTGCATTGGTCCCCGTAGTTGAATGTGAATTATATCAAAACAAAACCTTCTGAAATCTGTCAGCTCTATTGGGGTTTACTGACCTGGCATATAAAAGAAATTGCTATTTCAAATTCAATTTATACACAGCCAAACTGGGGAGCTGATGGTTTCAAGATTAAGCAGAAGGGAGTTGAAGCACTCAGCAGAGAGAGAGGGAGAGCACAAAACCAGCGAGTGAGTGGGGTGTGTTCCAAACACAACAGAGTCCTGGAGCAAAACTGATGGAGAGAAGTAGCAGATACTTGTTTGTTGCTCCGTTCTGGTCTTCAGGGTGGCTGTGATCCACTAAGCCAGGGGATACGTTAAAGGTCAGGCCCGTACCGAGTGCAGTCAGGCTGGCTTATATGCATCAAAGACCCCTTTATAAATGCACCAGAAAAGGCCCCCCAAGATTCAAACACAACCACACGGTGCTTAAACGTCTTTGAACTACTACTGATCATGTGAAGGAACTCTAAACACGTTCACGGCGGAGCCATCGAAACGTCAAAACAAACTTGAGCGGCTTGGCTACCTCTCTGAGAACGTCTCTCATCAGAGGACAGAGTGAAGGAGAGGAAGGAGGGAGGGAAAAAGGCACCACAGACGCAACTGGAGTAATTCGTAGCTGAAAATGATTGATTGAAAACAATGGTTGACGTCGTTGGCTGAATGAATGACTGGCTGACTGAACTGGCGGACGTTCCGACTGGGTTAGAGAAAGTGTGTGCTGGCAGCTCAGACCCCTTGGCGGGAGAGCCACGGCTGACTATTTTAGCTCATGTCAAATGCCCCTTCTTGCCGGGCAGTCAGATAGATGGAGTGTCATCTGCCACTCTCAACCTTCTGCTTTCCATTTGGAGGTGATTTGGGGTTGAAGTGATCTTTGAGTAAACGCACAGGATACATCAAGATCATATCCTGCCCTGTTCTCCAGCTCGCAACACCGATTCCGTGCAGTGTTGGCGCCTCATACTTCACTGCTCCAACAGCAGCTCTGTGGTTAAGAAAGAAGGAGAGGAAAAGCCACTGAACAAGAGAGAAGGTTTACGCACAACACATGTGCACTTGTCATTACTTAGCCCCCCGTGGTTTTACTCAATCTGGGTGTGTGATATCTGCCTTGGTATGTGATCATCCGACGCCTGGTTCTGGGGTCCTCATCACCAGAAACTTTGTAGCTAACGCAAGCCCTGCCTGAGGGCAGCTGGCTCCCTCAAATCATTTACAACTTGGAACTCCCAACAGAACATCTCACATAATATATATAAAAAAAGATTTAAAGAGACATGGGATGAGGTGAGGGGTTTAGGAAAGGCGGTGAGAGTGGGGGGAAGAGATATGGTAATGTCATTACTATTGGCAGCGCTGAGATACCAGTAGGAGTGGATGAACGGAGCGATGGATGGAAGGCGAGAGTGAGAGTCCCTAAGCGTGATTCTCCCCAGGTGCAAAGTCTCCTGTCTACACTCTCACTTATTCAATTCTTTATTTCTTCTGACAACAATAGCTTCCTATTTACGCTGGAAAAACCTAAACAGGCTGTGTGTTGTGCGCCAATAGCACATTATGGGAAACGCATCAACTCCATGAGTTTATCAGGAATAATTACATAATGGGGAAAAAAGAGAAAGCTACCAATGTGCTCGCCTCCTGAGGTCACTATGTCAGGCCGAACCCAGTGAACCAAAGGTGACTCAGTTTCAAACAACAACAGAAAGAACTGTAGAGAAGCCAAGAGCTAAACAAGGACTCTGCAAAGCTGAAATTAAATGTAAGAATGTATGGGCGGATAAGCGAGCAAGAGACATGTAGGCAGAAAGAGAGAGAGAAAGGAAATGAGCCAACGTGCAACCACAGTGGTGGTAAAATCTCATGCATGTGGACACTATAAAATGTGGAAAGAGAACTAAATCCAGGGCCAGATGTATGGACACATGTATGGTTCTGTAACATCAGAAACTGAGTCCAGCACAGACAGTGAGAGACAAAATGAGAGCGGGGGAAAGAAAAAGAAGAAAGGGAACATGATTGCGCCAACCCTTCACCACTAAAGGTTTGACCGATTCTTGCAGGGCTGGTCTGGATTCATTTGATTTGTTTTGGCCGGACTATTCTGGATCCTTGCGTGCTTCAGGTGGCAATGTCTTGAGGACCACTGTTCTGTTGTGGCTAGCCCAACCCAGTGATCCTGAAGACCGGCATGATGTTGCACAGGGTGGCCGAAACAGTCTGCAGAGAAATTGGAGAGGCCAGAGCCTTCGAAGCTTCCGGTACAGAGGAAGTGACCACTCTACTGTAACTGCCAAACAGCACTTCCCCTCTCACGCCCACAGCGGTTACAGAAAATAACAGTGTTTTGCTCAGATTCCTTTTATGTAAAACTACAACAAAAAGATCCCAGACAATGAAATGCATTAAACATGATATGAGTCAAATTGCTAGTCTCATAGGTCAACAACCTTGGAGGGTTTTTAGAGCAGTGCAAGACGAGGAAATTACAGGGATTCATCTAGCATCACAGAGTGTTAATTATGGCCCTGTAACTTTGCCAATGTTTACTCAAATGCTACGATATGCAACATGTTCTGGGAGACAAACGTATATGTGTGTCCATAACATTACATGTTGGACTGCACAGCACGAATACTCAGGGACCCCACTCTCAGCTTGTAACTGGAATAAAGACAGAAAGACAAACTGTCTGTCTGCCTGGTGAAAATGAACTTTTTAGAATACAGGAAATGAACGTTGGGTTTCGATTCAATTTCTTTCCCCTGCACTTTCTCCCGTGTGCCGAATGAGTTATTGACCTCCCTCATATATCTTTCAGGAACATATATAGAGGCACAATAGTTGTGAGGATCACCAGACTGTGGGAGGAAGAGAATTGTGACAACTTGTGGGGGCTTTCTTAGAAGGACAATATTTCAAACATGGCATTGTGAACGTGCAAGGGGCCATTTGCAGACAGGGGTGGCGGTAAGAGAAGCAGCTGCAGACTTTGAAGCCTAATCCACTCAAGTCTTGATTTACCTCCTTATTCTCCGTCCTAGAGAGGAGGAAAGGCTGCCTAAAGCTTAGAGAAGGCAGACAGAGAGCAGAGAGGGCAACTAATTAAAGAAAAAGGAACAAAATATCTGGGACACACTGAAGAAGACATAAAGACACAAAAGGCAAAGAAACAGCATAGAAGAACTGGGGCTGATCCCTCTCTGCAACAGCAAGAAATAACTATGGCGATGATGACTCTTGCACTAATGTAAACACATTTTGGTCCAATGGGAGAAACTCTAGACGGACAGTGGGTGGGAAGATGGATTTAACCCGAGTGGAATGCCAAACAAAAGGAGAAGTGTTTAGGGGCCCTTGTTCACAGCCAACACTGAGCTGATATGTCATCAGCCCAAGGCCCCCAAAGAGCTTCTGTTCTGTCCTGAGGACCACCAGCGCCTGACGCCTTTCAACTAAAGTACAATGTAGGAGAATGGAATATCAGAGGGGACATTGGTTATGTGGATTAAGTAAAAACCAGACGTAAAATTATTTAGTATTAAAAGATGAATTAGCTGAGCAGACGCTGTGATCTTTTAACATCACTTACAATGAGTTCAGCAGTGTTCTTATAGGACATTACTGCAGTGGACAGAGGAAGAGCGTGGTGAGCTATTTTATGAACGTAACAGCGGGAATCTGTGCTAAAGCCCACAAGCGTCTCATTGCCAGCTCTAAAGACCAAAACACATTAAAAAAAGATCAGGGGACAGTGACCATCTTCAATGATATTTCAGAATCACGGTCTTATTCGTTTTGAAGGGGGTAAAAAAAAAAAAGATTGTGTGGCTTTTGCAAGATGTTAGTTGGGGCTCCGAGGCATGGAAAAATGACTTCAGCAAGTACAGTGGGCCGGTCCAGGTGCAATCAACCGTCCCTCCGATCATATATCGACTGTTTCACCACCGCAGACTGAACTCTGGATGTGTGTCATTTCAGGGCCTATAAAGAACCCGTGGCCCTTGCTGAGATCATGCCTCGTTCAGGAGGGGGGGGGGAGGAAAAGGAATCCAAGTTACAAGACCTTATCAAAGATGTATTTCAAAGCCATGGAAGGCCAAGTTTTTCGAAAGGCATTTATTTGATTTCATCTTACTTTCAACATGCCATTGAATATCACGTTGTAAGTGCCTCGCCCATACACTGCTCCATTCTTCGTCACACCTTTAGACTTCAAAGGGCTGTCAGCAC